TTTGGAATAGTCCTACAATTTCATTCTAACACATAAAGTATCTTACCTGACCAGACTCAGATAATTCTCTTCGTAGCTTTAATTTCATTAAAGCAGATAAGGCCTGTCTAGTGCTGCTATAACAGAAATACCACAAGTAGGTGGCTTTAACAAAGAGAAATTTACTCTCTCACAGTCTAGGAGGTTAGACGTCTGAATTCAGGCTTCCAGCTCCAGGGGAAGAATTTCTCTCTCTGTTGGCTCTGGGGAGAAGCTCCATGTCATCAATCTTCCCCTGGTCAAGCTGCTTTTCAGTCTAGGGACCCCAGGTCCAAAGGATACAGAATTCTTCTGGCTCTTATTTCTTGGTTTTCTGAGGTCCCTCTGTCTCTCTGCTCCCTTCTCTCTTTTATATCTCAAAAGAGATTGACTTAAAATACAACCTAATCTTGTAGATTGAGTTATGCCTCATTAGCATAACTGCCTCTAATCCTGCCTCATTAACATCATAGAGGTAGGATTCACAGCACATAGGAAAATCACTTCAGATGACAAAATGGTGGACAATCACGCAATACTGGAAATCATGGCCTAGCCAAGTTGATCCATATTTTTGGGGGACACAACTCAATCCATGACAGGGCCTAAGTGAACATCTCAGTAATTAGTCAGTGATACATTGAAAAAGGAAAGGCCATCTCAAAATACTTGAGGGTCTGGAACAAAACTTCTAATCAGATATTCAGAAGTTGTATTATCTCACAACAAACCTTTATTACAGGGAAGTAATGGGACCCTTCCAGGGAACGAAAATCATCAGGAGAGTGGAAGGTCACAAACTTTGGACTCTATTTTTTCCCATGAGAATCCATTAGCCACGGAGCACTGGATAGCCATGAAGGACAGAGTAAAAGTCCCAAACACTAGTTCCAAAAAGTAGTCTTTATATACTTATCATAGCCGAGGGTCACGCATTTAACTCTTAGAGATAAGTAATGTTAAATTACACAGACACAGACCTAATTAACTGTTCAAACAGGAGTCAAACTACAAACCAATTCCTGATCTTTCATTTTTGATTATTGCCAAGGAATGCACTAACCCTTGCTGTGATGCAGACAAATGTGTGCTGAAGCCAGGATTTACTTGTGCCGAAGGAGAATGCTGTGAATCTTGTCAGGTAAGATCCTTTTTCTAGGACAGCGTTTTTCTGTTTATTAAGTGTACACAGGATGAAAGAGCTCTCTGACCACTGAACACTTTACCACTGACCCCAGAATGTATTAGGCTTGCTAATACCTGATGGAGCCTCTTCTGAGATGTTCTGACTTCTGAGAATTGGGCTGTGCTAGGTTCTGGGGAGTGGAGCAGCTGATGAGCTGTGCTTGGTCTTTTAGGAATGAAGTTACATGATAAGTACCATTCTTGCCCCTTTGTAAATCATTCCCAATCTGTATAACTTCAGACAGGAAGAAAATAGGTATCCCAACAGCAGGGTGCCAGAAGGGAGAGAGATAACATGGGACTAGAATACAACAGAGGCTAGTAGTTAGGAAAATATTCCTAAGGAAGATGACCAGAAGTCTAAATGACTCTGCCCAAAGAGTTATCAACTCTTCTTTCACCCCACTAGATTGTGAATTCATAATGAAATAGAGGCATATCCTATTCATCTTTAAATCTCTCCAGAAACTGACACAATTAGATGTGTATTGAATGGCTGAATCAGAGACTATCTACATGCAGTTCTCTGCAGCAATGAGAGCCAGAATATTTTTCCAGTTCATTTGGAGAGATCTGATTTCTTAGGGATGGAAATTCCATATTATATACAGAGGTTCCTAGTTGCATGTGGCTGGATGTGTACAGGGAAAATGTGGGAGCAGGATGTACTGGAGCAAGGAATGAAGAAAAGAGAAGATAAATGAGAACACTTGTCCATTTCTCCATTGTATGTCTGTTTCAGCTCTGGCCAAGGTTTGTCTAATACCAAATTTCAAAAACCCTCCTTTACCATACCCAAAATTACATTCAAGCCAAGGTATTTAATAATAATAATAATAATAAGTGGAATGGAGAAGGAGCTGATGAGCCATCCTTAGAGACTTTTTTAGATAAATTAAATGGGTCAACCTTCTGCCCACCTACTGAACCTTTCCTACATAAATGTGTCCCAGCTTCAGTGTCATTGTTTTTTCTCAACAGGTGAAAGTAACAGGGTCCATGTGCAGACCAGCAAAAGATGAATGTGATTTTCCTGAAGTATGTACTGGCCACTCCCCTAGGTGTCCTAGGGACAAGTTCCAAGTAAATGGATTCCCATGCAAGAATGCAGAAGGCTACTGCTTCATGGGGAAATGTCCTACACGGGATGATCAGTGCTCTGAATTGTTCGATGATGGTGAGAGGCAACAACAGTGCATGATGGATAAAGAAAATAGCCTTTATTTCTCTGCTATTGTCCTACAGGAATTTGGGACAAGCTTGGAGATAATGCTATTTGTGGCATTCTTCCAAGATATTACGTAGCATCTCTCTGGTTGTGGGTTTCATAACCTTGATCTTCCCTCTAATATTAACTGATTAGCTCACAATGTGGGCTAAGGTGTATTTGTTACTTTTTCATGTTTGTGTTCCTTACTAAAAGGTCCCCCTGAAGCAAGAGGGTAGCTCTTTATTCCATTTATTCTGTTCTGGTTTAGCACCACTGAAAGGTTAATCACATTAGAAAACTAAGGTTGTTCATGATTCATGATACTCATGCTTTCATTCTTTTATGTTTATCACACCGTTTTGGAGCCCAGAGGCAAAAGGGAGTCATGATATCTGCTACAACATGAATAAAAAAGGAAATAAATTTGGATACTGCAAAACAGTGGAAAACAATTTTGTTGCCTGCAAGGAGAGGTAAGTGATTGGTGAAGGAAAGCAAGTGCTCTCAAATAGTGTTTGCAAAATCAGACTAGCTCCTCATCTGACAGCTGCTAACATCTTTTTACTGAGATGAGGAAGAAAGTACAGCAGGGAGGACGAGAGCACGCATCCCTAACAGGACTAACTGGCATTTGTATACTGTATTTATTAGCTGCAAGTCCTGAAATACAAGGAGGAAAGACGAGGAACATTTAAGATGCTTAGGAAAGAAAGGGAGAAAAGGAATGCTACAATAAGAAGGAAAAGGAACAGAAGAGAGGAAGCAAAAAATAAGTGGAAAACAGGAGAAGAAGAGGAAATGAAAGAGTTGAAGTGAGAAAAAGAAAGGTAAAAATTGAAATCGGAGGATAGAGGGAGAGAATCAGAAGTTACAGGCTGAATTAGGAAAGCATGAGCGGAGCCATACTTATATGTCTGTTACTGACATTCTGCAAGTCTTTTTATGTGCCATAAAGCAGGATTTGGAGTGAAAATGACAAAAATGCCAAAAAGTGCTGTGTTCAAGTATAAGTCATGCAAACTATGCAAAAATGGGCAGACACTTAACTTCTCCTTCTTTCCATTGATGCCTAATCTGTAAAATGGTGGATATAATAATAGCAACCTCAGAGGTTTGTTGTGAGAATCAACTGATGTGCTCTATGCAAAAAGAATAATAAGGAAATCTTAGTGGCATGACTAAAGTTATGCTAATTCACATTATTAATAATAAGTATTCTTCTGTAAACTTGAGCTAATACTGATTTGTAAGAATCACTGAGAAATCAAAAAGAAACATAAATAGTTTTTTACTTTACCTACTCATCTCAGTTCCCAAGGTCAGGACTTTGACAGTCCAACTGTTTACCTGCCTCTCCTGACCCCTCTTCAACCTGCTAACAAGCCTAGGTCTAAAGAAGTGAACAGGCCATTTCACTGTCAGCATAGCCTCTAAAGATCTACTTCTGGCCCAAGTCTGAGAATACACTCACTTTCCTTCAGAGATGTCAAATGTGGAAAGATATACTGTGCCGGAGGACAGCGGTCACCTTCCTTGGGAGAAGACGAGATCTACCACCTTCAGGCTCCAAAGAAGAATGCAACCATACAATGCAGAGCCTTTTTTTGGTACCATAATTCTGAAGATGTCGGCCTGGTTGCTTCTGGAACAAAGTGTGGAGATGGAATGGTAAGATGAAAAGTCTATTGTTTTATTAAAACTTCTTACTTCAGCCCATTAAAAGAAAATCATTGTCCCTGTAATGGGCTCTAGAAGGGCCTATATATTAGAAAACAAGAAAGAAATTGGCATTTTTTTTTATTGAACAGAGTAACAATTGTGCTATAATAAATATTCATTGTGCCTAATCTTTGTTATACCAAATGATGTTTAATTGCTGTAAATGCACTTAATTAGTAGCTTAAACAAGACATCTAATGAAATTATAGACATAATTTTTTTCCAGGTAATGCAACTCTGCATAGTCATATACTCCTCATTTTTTACTAATTTGACCATATTTAATGGGCATGGTCTATGGTGCTGGCAACTGTGCTGTGGGCGGAGGAGGTAGAGAAGAGTCCACTCAAGAATTTGGTAGGTTAAATTAAATAGATCATTACAGTTTAACAGAAGTGCTTTCATAGTGGTCTGATCAATGCGTATTTGGAGTCCAGAGGAACAAGTGACTAACTTTGCTTATAGAACATGGAATAGCGTCTTAAATCAGGCAACGTTTCAGCTTTACTTGATGAACCATATTTTTGCACAAAAATAAAACAAGGTAAGACTTTTTGTAAAGAAACACCCACACCATATGCAAAGGTAAAACGTGTATTACATATTAAGATAAATGTGACAATTTTGGTCTGACTGAGGCTTCAGGTTGAAATGGTAAGGGATAAGGTTGAACACGTAGAATAAGGCCATATTGAAAAGGGTTTATAATGCCAAGATGACAACTTTAGAATGTATACTGTAAACAACATCAAGATTTATAAACAGAAGAATATATGAACAGTAAGATGGAAGGAATACACAGTCACTGTACCAAAAAGAATTGGTCAATGTACAACCATCTCAGGAGCTAGCATATGATCATGAACCGATGGTATTGAAGGAAGAAGTCCAAGCAGCACTGGAGAGGAATTGACAGAATACCGATTGAGATGCTTCAAGAAACTGATGCAATGCTGGAAGTGATCACACATCTATGTCAAGAAATTTGGAAGATAGCTACCTGGCCAACCAACTGGAAGACATCCATATTCGTGCCCAGTCCTAAGAAAGGTGATTCAATGGAATATGGAAATTTTTGAATAATATCATTAATATCACAGGCAAGGAAGATTTTGCTGAAGACATTAAAAAACGCAGCAATACATCGACAGGGAACTGCCAGAAATTCAAGCCGGATTCAGAAGAGGACATGGAACGAGGAATGTCATTGCTGATGTCAGATGGATCTTGGCTGAAAGTAGGGAATTCCAGAAAGCATTTTACCTCTGTTTTATCAACTATGCAAAGGCATTTGACTGTATAGGTCATAACAAATTATGGATAAGATTGCGAAGAATAGGAATTCTAGAAAACTTAATTGTACTCATGAGGAACTTGTACATAAACCAAGAGGCAGTCATTCGGACAGAACAAGGGGATACTGTGTTGTTTAAAATCAGGAAAGGTGTGCGTCAGGGTTGTCTCCTTTCACCGTATTTATTCAATCTGTACACTGAGCAAATAATCCGAGAAACTGTACTATATGAAGAATGTGGCAACAGGATTAGAGGAAGACTCATTAACAACCTGAGATATGCAAATGACACAATCTTGCTTGTTGAAAGTGAAGAGGATTTAAAGCCCTTACTGATGAAGATCAAACACCACAGCCTTCAGTATGGAGTACACCTCAACATAAAGGAAACAAAAATCCTTACAACTGGACCAATAAGCAACATCATGATACACGGGGAAAAGATTGAAGTTGTCAAGGATTTCATTTCATTTGGATCTACAAACAACGCCCATGAAAGCAGCAGTCAAGAAATCAAACAACCCATTGTATTGGGCAAATCTGCTAAAAAGACCTCTTTAAAGTGTTAAAAAGCCAAGATGTCACTTTGAGGACTAAGGTGCGCCTGACCCAAGCCATGGTATTTCAATTGCTTCACACGCATTCAAAAGTGGACAAGAATAGAGAAGATAGAGGAAGAATTGATGCATTTGAATTATGATGTTGGTGAAGAATATTGAACATACCATGGACTGCCAGAAGAATGAACAAATCTGTCTTGGAAGAAGTACAGCCAGAATGCTCCTTAGAAGCAAGGATAGTGAGACTTTGTCTCGCTTACTTTGGACATGTTATTATGTGATCAGTTCCTGGAGAAGGATATCATGCTTGGTAAAGAAGAGGATCAGCAAAAAAGAGGAAGACCCTCAAAGAAATGGACTGACACAGTGGCTGCAACGGGCTCAAACATAGCAACGATTCTGAGGATGGTGCAGGACAGAGCAGTGTTCCTTCTGTTGTGCAATCACCTCAATGGCACCTAACAACAACAACATATATATATTGTGATGTGTGTTGTGTGTGTGTATACAACAAATGTTATTTGAAATTGAATCATTTCTCTTTGTGCTATGTCTTCCCCTTTCTCCTTATGCCACAACTCACAAGCGTGACAGACATGCACTGGCTTTCATATAATGTGATAGAGAAATGAAATGGACAACAAAAATTCAGAATGGGAAAAAAAAAGCAGAATTAGCATTTAGTAATCTAAGGGAAAAATTCATTTCAAGTCTGTATATTAAACTATACATTTTATCATTAAAATTATTACAAAGAATATCAAAATAATGAGAAATCTAAATTTGTGAAAATTCAAGTACATTTAACAATCACAAGCTGTAACATTCAAGGACTTTCAACAAGATAGAATTTATGAGGCATGGGTTTGAAGAAAATACCAAACAATTTTCTCTTCACTTTAGGTAAGGAAAAGCAGCGTGAACTACAAAGTAGAAGCATGTGTTTCCCTTTACAGATTCCCACAAAGAGTGGCAGGGACTAATGGGAGAGCAACTCTTCAGGAACAAATCCTGACCTTATCTGTACATTGTGACCATGTACCAGTGAGTGGGGTGCCTGTTCCTTTAAGAAAAGGCTTTATAAAGAAATGTACCAACCACAGTGACAACAGTGCTTTGGCAAATTCCTAATGAAGGCCTTCGTGCATAGCAAATGCCAGTATATTTGGACACCTCAAAGATACTACTTAAAGAATTTTTCTTTTCATTTCTGCATTGAAATACTATTTGTAGACATGTTGAACTTAAAATGCTTAAAAAGCATTCTAGTTTCTCTAAGAATTTATTCTTTCTGGGTAAATGTTAATTTGGCATAGAAAGAGAGGACAAACATATCCCATTGCCCCTTGGTCCCATTTTTCTTGGTTATGCTAAAAAACTAGTTGCAGAGAAAAGAAAAAGAAAAGAGAGAGAATGGAAGAGAAGGGGAGGGTGGGAAAGGCCAGAAGAGTGGAAGAGAGGGGAGGGAAGAAAAGGAGAAGAGAGAAGAGCAGGGGAGGGAGGAATGAAGGGAGGAAGTTGACTAGATAGTTCTTTTGTTCATTTGGTCATGGCGCAGAAGAGTTGCTGCAAAACTGCCTCTGGAGGTATCTCTTTATTAAACATAAAAAAAATGGCAATATGAAAATAAGACACATCTTAATATACTCTTTTAGATAAACCTGAAAGACTTGAAGAGAGATCCATGTAAGTTTTAAAGCAATCTGCCTCCATGCTCAGTTATGTATATAGAAAATCCATTCTATAAGGGAAAACAAAGAGGAACATCAGCAACAGATATAAAAGAATTCAATAGTGTTAAAAAAGACCAATCTGAGAAATCATAGATAGCCCCCTATGAAACACATATACATTAAAAAAGGGGAAAACCCTTTAGAAAAAGTCAGATGAATATTATGAATAGGATTTAAAAGGATATTAAATCTATAAACATGGAATATTTTAAGATCAAGAAGCATTGCCTTTAAATTACAAAATAAATCATGATTGTTGATGTATAGGTAATGGGGGCAGTAAACCATAGAGTAGATGCTAAAAAAAATTAGTAATTAGAAGCTAAGCTTCATAATGCCTAAGAATAAGATCAAGGAATAAAAAAATAGAAGAAAATAAATAAAAGCATAAAAAACAGTTCTAAGAAACCTAGTATAGATTTGATAGGAATTCTAGATAAAGAGAACAGAGTAGAAGGAAAGTAAAAACTAATTAATAAAAAATGTCCCCGAAGTGAAGAATGCATGAAATAAAAACCTTACTTAGTACCAGGAAAAATTCAGAGACTGCGATGAGCTCTTAGCCTTGCCCTCATGCCATGATTGTCAACAAATTTTTTAAAAGTTCTATAAGCTTAAAGGAAGGTAAAAGATTTTTTTCTACAGAAAAAAAAGATTTCCTATAGAAAAAAATTATTAGATTGTCATCATACTTCTCTGCAACAAGAAATGGTAGAAGATAATGCAACAACAGCTATAGAGTTTTGCAAAACATAAATATTGGGACCACATAGGCAGCTAAGTTATTACTCAGATAATAAAGCAGTAGGATGACACTCAGACAATTTAGGATTAAGAAATTATACAGTAATGTATGTTGTTGTTGTTAAGTGCCATTGAGTCGATTTTGACTCATACCGACTCCATGTGACAGTGTAGAATTGCCCCATAGGGTTTTCTAGAACGGAAGCAGATCGCCAGGTCTTTCTCCCATGGAGCTGCTGAGTGGGTTCTTACTGCCAACCTTTGGTTAGCTGGTGAGTGCTTAACCATTGCACCACCAGGGATCCGACAGTAATGTATAGACTGCATATATTTTCTGAAAAGAAAAATAGTCAAGGAAGTTATCCAGTCATCTGAGAAATATTTAAATTAAGAACTTACGTTGCTGGCAAAGAAGTGGTGGTGAGCAAGAAGATTTGTAAAATGTTTCAGTAAATTCTAGATATCTGTGGTTAATAGGTTTATGATGCAAATGTTAAAAATATCTTGAATAAAGAATTACATTATCACAAATAAAAAACTTCAATTTGATCAAACAAAAACTTGAAAGAAGAGGGAAAGAAAAGAAGTAAAAATTGATAGAGTTCTTTTTTATACGAGGAGGAGTCAATGCTGATTTGTTCTTCAAAATGATATAATTAGGTGCGTTCAAAATTTTTAAACTGAAGATAAGGTAAACTAAATCAAGGTTTAAAAACTTGAATATACAGCTTTCAAATTTTAAAACAAATAATTGTAGAATAAAAGTGACATAAAAGGTAACCTAAAATGTCCAATGTTAGAAATCATATGACATGAGTAGGTTAAACATATCACTTATTACAAGAAATATGAATGGATTAAAATCTTCATATTTAAAGTTTTTTGAAAGTCTTTGAATTGATGCCAAAGAAGACTGTGCAGATATGTGCTCTTTGTAAAAGAACTAGCTAAAAATAAAAAATAACAGTCAAATAAGTGGTCAAAGATAAACCAAGCAAAACCCCAAAACAACAATACTTTGGTGATAAAATTTATCAAAAAAACAAAAACTGAAAACAAAAGTTATTAAACATAAAGAAAAAGATTAATTCATATACCCAACAATCATTTGTGTATAACAAACATAGATTCTTATATCAAATCAAAAGGAAAACTTGATATAAATAGTAGAAGTATTTGTTGGAATTACAATTGTAGAATCACTGAGAAATTAACATTCAAAGGAATAATAAGGGCACAAATCCATTGCCTTCAGTCAATTCTGACTCATGGCAACCCCACATGTTACAGAGTAGAACTGCTCCATAAGATTTTCTTTGCTGTGATCGTCCTGGAATCAGATTGCCAGGCCTTTCTTCTGAAGAACCACTGGGTGGGTTTGAAACACCAAACTTTAGTCCAGTACAAAACGTTTGTCCATCCAGGGACCATAATAAGGGTGTACATATTTGAATAATTAGTAAGTTTGTATGTAACAATTTTTTTGATGTACATTCTTTTAAAATATTGATCACACATTTATAGGATTTCTTCTTCCATGGAAGACTGTACATGTGGAATTTTATAATAGAAAAAAGCACATAAATTGTAAGACCAAGGCATTCTAATTCATATTGGTTACTTCATTTCTAGGTGTGCAACAATGGTGAATGTGTCAACATCAAAAGGGTCTACAGTTCAACCAATTGCTCCTTCCAGTGCAATGAAAATTCTGTAAGATTTAACAGCTTTTTAAAAGTAATGCCTTACCAATGATTTATTTACATAGGACTTCATTCCTGAGCCTGTGTGTGTATATATGTATATATGAACATATGTGTGTATTTATGTACATTATTTTTTAATCAAGTCTATATAGAAATCCATGTTTTTCTATATGCCATTATTAAAATTGATCCAAATTGTCAAATCAGGTATTACACATAGATATTGACAGTATTTAAAATACATATTTTGTTATAAAATTACACTGGTAATATAGAAACTCAGCAACTTACGTACTTATGTATGATGTTTAAACCTAAAAGTTGGTTCTATCATAAATCACTTATAGATAAATTACAGCAATGTCAACCTTAGCCTAAAGCTTTTGAGAATAACAACAAAAATTATGATTTTTTCCTTACTCAATTAACACTCTTCAATACTATCCATTACTAGCAGTTTGAGCTTATGGATACTATCTTTGGTAAACCTGATTAATCTGTAATACTTATATACAACTGTGTATGTATCAGCACTGTTTCAAGTGCTATACATATATGTTAAATTTTAAAAATCTTCATAACAACCTTAAGAGGTAAGCAGTATTTCCATTCCCACTTCAACAGATGGAAAAACAAAGGCACACAGGTGTTGTGCAATTTGTGAGTGAAGCAGGCATTTAAATCCAGAAAGTCTATCTCCAAGGTCTGCACACTTAACTGTTATGCAATGCTGCTCTTTGATGAACTAAACCTGTGTCACCATCCTTTTCCCACTCCAGTATAATTCCATTATCATTAAGCCTAGTTTAAGTCTTACGATATGTCTAACTCTAGCAGGGGCCATTTATTTAAGGATATTGATGCTTTCTGGATAAATCATATTAGGTTTTTAATCTGTCTTTGAATTAATCAGAATCATTTCACTTTCTTAAGGAACTTCTTCAAAGGTGGTTACTTCTTGCATTTTGTTTGCTTATTTTTGTGCAACATTGATTTTTGCGCAACATTGATTTTTGCATTCAGTTTGGTTAATTACTCAATAAAAAGTTTGTGTGAACTGGAGTCTGTATGTGTGTGTGTTTGATGTAGAACTAGCACTAAGCTAAATGAGATGCAAAATTTAGATCATGTCAATCATTTGATAAAATTATTTGATTGATTACTCTTCCAGGTGGATGGTCAGGAAGTGGAATGCCTGTGTGAAGAACAGGGATCTCTAGACTGGGAAGAAACCTTAAACATTACGAGTGAGCATCCTGGGATGTTAATAATAGTGTGTGCATGTGTGTATGAAAAGCCTTTCCAGAAACCTTTTGTCTTATTTTCCAAGTCTGTTAAATCTTTGGTATTGTGTATATATGTATGGTCTTTTTGTTACTTTGCATATTTTGATGTCCAAATTAGAATTTACTACAGTCGTCTTTTAGAATCGGTGTATCTTCTTCTGGCTAAATTTAGCTTAATTCTTCTAAGAACCCACAGCAAATCAAGGCCTTTTCTGCATTCAGTGAATAACAGACAACCGAAACTTTTCCCACTGATTGTGGCTCCCTTAAATATAGTAGAACCCTGGGTGGAGTATCAATTGCTAAAGCAGGTAGTAATTTATATAATGTTTTGGCTTTAATCTGGGGGGAAATTAAAGTCCTTGAGGAAAGGAGAAGCAGGATCATAACAGTTTAGTTAAAAATGGATCATGTTAATATTTCACTCTCCTAAAGTTGACACTCCGACTGAAGCTCCTATTTTTAAATGTTGCAGATATCGCCATCCTGGTCGTGGTGCTCATGCTAATTTTTGTCGGTGTTGGGGTTGTCATATTATTAATTCGTCACCAAAGGTGTATTAATTTGAAGCAAAATCAGAGGTAAATCTGCACTTTCTATGTGTTGAAGAGAAGCATTACTGGGAATCTATAAGCTTGTGGCCCTGAAGGATACTTGATGTGGGAAAAATATAAGGCTTTAGTTATGACCAGGTAACAACTATTTATATATTTTGTCTCATCCAAATGCATATCCCAGTGGTTTCTAAACCTTTCTCCAGCTTAGAATCATTTGGGGACCTTTAAAAAATACTGATGCCAGTTCCCATACCTAGACATCGTGATTTAATTGCTATAGGTTGTAACCTAGGCATCAGTATTTTTAAATATGTCTCGATTGTTTAATATTAACCCCTGGTTTGTCCCATAGCTGGTGTCAACATTTAACTTCCTTCCTGACAGCCCACCTGGAGACACACTGGGAGTAGAGAATAAAGGATACTTTGGTGATGAGCCGCAGACAAGGAATGAGCCAGTCTTACCAGATATTCATCCACTACAAGTAAGAAACTTTCATCTGTAATAGTAAATTAATCAGTAAAAAAGTAATTGCACATGTATTTAATGTGGAACTAACACTAAGCCAAGTGGAAGATGCGGAAGAATAATTGAGCATGGTTCCACGCAAATGGAGTTTTTCATTCCAAATGCGGGGAAGGGGAGGAGGGCAGGTCCGTAGCATGAAACACGAAGCAAGACAGTATTTCACTCATAGTAGGAGACATTGACTAAATATGATAGTAATTTTTTTCCTTTTTTTTTATGTTTTATTGTACTTCAAGTGAAGGCTTTCAGAACAAATAGTTTCTCATGAAATGGTAGTACACATATTGTTTTATGACATTGGCTAACAACCCCACAACATGTCAACCCTCTCCCTTCTCGACTTTTTTTTTTTTGGTGAAAATAGACATAGCCAAAGATACACCATTTCAAAAATTTCTACATGCACAGTTCAGTGACATCAACTATGCTCTTCCAATTGTGCTGCTATTCTCACTTTAGATGAAGGCTTACAGAACAAAATAGTTTCTCATTTAACAATTAGTACACATGTTGCCCTATGACAATGGTTAACAACCTCACAACATATCAACACTATCCTTACTCATGATAGTAATTTTTACTTTATTGGAAAATTTTATGAACATAGACCATATTCTGGGCCATAAAACAAGTAAATCAATGTAAAAGAATGCAAGTCATGTGAAATATCTTTTCTAGCTATAATGAAATATATTAGAAACCAGTAACAAGAAGATATTGGGAAAATCTCCAATTATGAATTAGAAAGAAAATACAAAAGAACCCATAGATTAGAGAAAAAAAGAAAGGGAAATTAGAAAGCATTTTGAACTGAATGAAAATGAAACAACATAACAAAATTTGTGGGATGAAGCTAAAGCAGTAACTAGAGAAAAATTTGTAGCACTAAATGCTTAAGTTAGAGAAGAAATCATTGACCTCAGCTTTCAGAAACTAGGAATAGAAAAGAAAATAAAACTCAATGTAAACAGAGGTTAAGAAAAATAAATATCAGAGTGATAACAATGAAATAGGAAACAAAAACAATAGAGAAAATCAATTAAAAGAAAAGCTGATTTTTTTTTGAGATGAGCAGTACAACAAACTTCTATATTGACTGCTGTCTTATTTATCTAATGCTGTTATAACAGAAATACCACAAGTGGATAGCTTTAACAAACAGATTTATTTTCTCACATTTTAGGCGGCTACAAGTCTGAATTTAGGCAGCCAGCTCTAGGGGAATGTTTTCTCTCTGTGTTGGCTCTGGAGGAATGTCGTTGTCTTTTTGAGCTTCTGCTGGGCAATCCTCATGTGGCTTGGCGTCTCTCTTCCTCCATCTCTACTTCGTTTGCTTGCTTGTTTAATCTCTTCTATGTCTCAGAAGAGACTGATTCAAGATACACCCTAATCCTGCCTAATTAACATAATAAACATAACGTAATCCTCATTGACATAACCTAGTCCTGCCTCATTAACATAACAAACACAACCCATTCACAAATGGGATTATAATCACAGGCAGAGGTTAGGATTCATGACACATATTTTCGAGGGACACAATTCAGTCCATAACAACTGTTCAGAAATAGCAAGCATCAACACAGATTATCAATATCACAAAGCAGAAAGGTGCCATCACTAGAGACTCTACAAGTATTAAATTGATAATTAGAGAATCTTTTGAAAAACATATTTCAATAAAATTGACAGTGTAGATGAAATGGAACTATTTTTGAAAGATACAAATTACCTAAGCTTAGTCATGAAGATACAGACAGTCTGAATAGCCCTACATCTATTAAATATATTGAATTACTAGCAAAAAGTCCTTTCCACAAAGAAAACTCTAGGTCGATATGACCTCACTGGTGAATGCTACCAACATTTGAAGAAATAGTATCAATTCTACATAAACTCTTCCAGAAAACGGAAGAGAAGGGGGAGTTCCCAACTCATCTCATAAGGCCAGTATTTCTCTGATACCTACCTAGACAAAGTCATTACAAGAAAGGAACTCTACTGACCAATGCCTCTAAAGAACACAAGTGCATAAATTATTAATCTTTAGCCGGTTGAATCCAACAACATACAAAAGGATAATACATAATGATCAAGTGGGGTTTATCCCAGGAATGTAAGGTAAATTTAACTTCTAAAAATCAGCCAAACCAATTCACCATATTATCAGACTAAAAGAGTACAATCATATGATCATCTCCATAGCTGCAGGAAAAAAGCTTGAGAAAAATCTAATAACTATTCTTGATAAAACGCATCTAACTAGCAATATAATTAGGATTTTTTGGTGGGTGGTGGTGTTCTGGTTATACAGTTTCATAGGTTTTGAATGCTATGCCCCAGTTGTATATGTTTCATAAGTCCTGTGTTTTTTACTGCATGATATTGGCAAGCATGTCGCCACCTCCCTCCAGGTACATATACATGACTTTATAGCAGCAATGCCTCCACTGAACTGCACTGGGGTAATTAGGGATGAGTAGTTAATATATCTTTCTCTACTGGTGGTCTATTATAATTTTTATCCATTTATACTCTTTATTATGCCAGTGGTGATCCCCAGATCGTAAAAACAACTATTGTCCACTCAAATGGATAGGAAATATGGTATAGATAAAGATTTAAGTTCATGCTGAGATTTTCTGGTATGAAACCACATGATGCTACTATCAACCTTGTACGTTTGCTCTGAGGTTTAAATGAAAATGTGTATGAAAATGTACTTAGCACAGAGTTTGGTATTATTTAGCACTTAATATGTGTTCATTATCAGGAGCCCTGGTTGCATAGTGGTTAAGAGCTCAGCTGCTAACCAAAAAGTTGGCAGTTCAAATCCACTAGCTGCTCCTTGGAAACACTATGGGGGCAGTTCTACTCTGTCCTATAGTGTTGCTATGAGTTGGAATTGATTTTTCTTTTTCTTCTTAATATGTTAATTATCTACTATGTCTTATATGCCATTGCAGTTTCTTTCTTAATTCTGTTTTACTTAAATTAATGTGCAAAGCAAGTGCACTCCCAGAGAAAGGAGTCAGGTGAGGGTGCCTGAGCATGAGATCAATGATCAGTAGTCACAGAAGCCAACCACAGGTTCACATAGAGCCTGGGGCAAATATGTTACATACATGCTCCCTTAAGGGCTTTTGATGGAGACCCTGGGTGGCACAAAGTCTTGACTACTAGTCCAAAGGTTGGTAGTTTGAACTCACCCAGAAGTGCCTCAGATGACAGGCCTAGTGATCTGGTTCCAAAAGCTCACAACATTGACAATCCTATGGAGCAGTTCAACTTTGCACACATGAGTCAAAATCAACTCGAAGAACACTAACAACAACAAGGGCTTTTGACTTTTTGGTTAAATGATGTATGTCTAGCACCATTTGTTGAATATATAAATAAGTTTAACTCACTACTAATGGTGCATACACTCTGACAAACTATACACACAGACTGTCATAGGAGAGTTTTGGGCCCTCAAAACTCATGTTTAAACTATTTGTATTATTTTTAATGAAATTATATAATTAATAAAGATTTATTTGCTTGTTTAACAGTTTAGATATACATAAAAACTATCAGGTCATCAGCAAAACTGTGGTTTAGAGAAGGTCTACTCTGGTGTCCTCTCCCTGTTTCATTAATGGTACTTTTTTGCTTCTGGCAGGTCTTGTCTCCACTGCCTCTTGCTTTATAGTTGTATTAATGTCTGCTGTGGAGTTAACTGAGTCCCTGGGTGGTGCAAACAGTTAACACACTCAGTTGCTGACCAAAAGGTTGGAGGTTCAAGTCTACCCAGAGGTGCCTCACAGGAAAGACCTGGCGATCTCCTTCTGAAAAATCAGTCACTGAAAATGCTATGGAGCACAGTTCTATTCTGCCACACATGGGGTCGCCATGAGTCAGAGTCAACTTGACAGGAACTAGTGATGGTGTGAGGTTAACAGAAAGTACTTTGAAGTGTCACCTCAGCCAGGGATATCGGCATTTTAATAGGAAGTTTTGGAGGTCTTCAAAAGCCTGTAAGGTCCAAAGGAATGTAGCTGGTTGTGAAATTTCAGGCATTAAAACAATTATCTGTATTAAGATTTGGAGGCTGACAAACCTGCCTTGTGTTACTCATATCACAACATATAAAGCGGCCCCCTCTCTCCTCCTATGCGTGCTTACTTTATAGATAGGTTCTGAGATAGATGCATCTGTCGGAAGAGAACCTAGGGGAGAATGTTGTTGCCATGTGTTTAAGTATTGGTATCTTTTCTAAGAATATATTCCAGGGGTAGCTGGAAATTTTACCTTATGGGTTTGGGAAATATTTATTCTTGCTTGAATACTAACCACAGGCTAACAAATAGTATCTCTTTTCACTAGCAAAGAACTGCAGAGTCTTTTGAGAGCCTTCCGTCTGGCTTTTCAAGTCCCCACTACATCACAGTGGTATGTTCCCTGTGCCCTTTCTGTCAGCTGTATAGTACTCTGTGTCCATTTCAATAATAACTCCAATGCCATTTAGCCATTAGTTGGTTCCATGAAGAAGGCCAATAATATAACACAGCTCTCTGACTTGAGGCATAGATTTTGATTTCTGGCATAGAGACTTCCTTCTCACTCAGGCTAGGATTGGGGTGAAGGGAGTGAGGGTCAGAGCCTGTCTTTACTTAAAATGTTGGTATTGTTCATTATAAACTCTTGTATATTAATTTTTATTTTTAAAATAATGCATTGACATTTTTTATCTTGATTATGGAGTTTTTTTGGTGCCTCTCCCCCTAAAAATTGCCTCTGAGGTGTGTGCTCACTCCCTCACTCTAATCCTGGCTTGCTTCTCAAGGGTAAAAACACAATGATGGCCGCCAACGAGGCCTTAATCAACCTGAGAGGGCTTTCCACTAGAACACTCAATTAATTGTGGTTGTATCTTCCCTGGATCAATATTTATGAGACAGAAACAAATTAGTATACACACAATATATTAAAGACTGACTAGAAGAAAAAAAAAAGTCATAGGATCACTAGGGGTCAGCCAATCTGCCAAGGTCTCTGTCTCTTCATGCCGGTGTCACAGCCACAGAGTAGAACACTTCTTATTCAGAACAGAGCCCTGAAAGCACCAAGATTCTTAACTTGTGTTTTTAAAATCAGAAATTCTCATTAAATTTTCTTTATTCATGACTAAAAGGGTGTGATCACAGTAGTTTCAGTCCGAGGTTCCGCAGAATCCCCCAGTCACACAAAAGATCTCAGAAAGTGCTACACAGTAGAGGGTGGAGCTGAATGAGCGTATCTTCCCATTCCTCATTCAACCCATGCAGTCCATTGTGAACAATCAGTTCTGCTGGGATTTCAATGAAGATACTATTTGAATAAAAGCTCTGATGAGTAAAAAAATATATGAAACTCTCTTATATTATTGGAAAGATTGGCAAGAAGGTTGGTACAGGGAAAAATGGTTACTTATGAAACTTCACTTAACTGAACTATCCCCCAACTCTATCCCATAGCATTTTTTAAACCATCTTATGTTTTCCACAGAGCAGAAGAGGTGGTGGGTATGTGTGTGCATGAGTGTGTGATACAACATTATTTATTATAGAAACCTGCAAGTAAAGATCCAAGAGGAACCGCAGATCCCAATCCAAGTGCCAAAATGGTAGGTTCCTATGAGAGATGGTACCTTTTTAGGTTCCTATGATAGATACTACCTCCCCCCCACCCACCGAATACTAGCATTCCATTTGTATTCTTTACCCACTCATTGATTGACTGAGGACATTCTCTTTCCTTATCAAATTAATATGATGGGTGAAATTGTTTTCACTGATACCTTAAAATTGCTAACAGATAATTCTGCAGAGCATGTTTTAGCCCAAGAGATTTCAACCTGACCAAAGGAACAAGCTAGAATTCAAGAGTGTCAGAGCCTTGACATATTTAAGAAATTATAACGAAAACAAACTTTTTTCTCAATCTTTTGTTGGCTAGAGTATACACAACTATGGATCCTCTTTAAGTGTTTTAAAGGATATAGTAGTGCTGGAACTCACAGAAAAGGTGTAATTCATAATGGAACTGTTTTCTTCATGATTGCTTTACCAAACTTTTCATTTACTCTATCAATAAATAATTATATCTGAAATATGGTTTCACATTTATATTACCATGTCCATGTTAGAAAATGTATTAAAATAATTGTGATTTTTGTCAAAGACAGACAAAAGGAGCTTGGCTTCATTAGCAGTTTTTTTTCATTCATTCATTCATCCATTCAATTTTGTTGAGTCTACAATGTGCCGGGTACTGGGTTAATATGAAACTTTCCCCAGCAAAGCATTTGTATAAGGAATACTGCACACACTGCCGTGTTGGAGACTGATAAAGAAGGATGTATTCTAATGGTCCGTCCTTCCATTCATGATGATAAACACCCTCCCATCACTGGAACGTGGAGAATAAGAACACTCCTTTGTGCAAGCAAATGGTTGTATGCAGAAAATCAAAATGATTTTCTATCTTTCATGATATACTTATTCATTTTATAATAACCGTTTAATTACCCAAGGCTATGGGGATCAGGAAATGTCTGAATCAGTGTAGTATGATAGAATCTATAAAGATTACTCTAATTAGTAGATATAAATGAGCAACTGAAATACAACATGTTTATAGCTTTTACAGAAAACTTATTTTTAATCATCTCTTTCTGTTTAGAGCTTGAAATTGGATATCCAAAATGGCTGTGTCGGGCTAGGCTGAGAATTCTGGATGCAAGATCTTCACAACCTTCCATAGATATATACTACACAAATTTCCAAAGACAGGAAATGTTTAAGAGAAACAACCTCTTTCTGTAATTTTTACCTGTAGAATTCACATCCTCCATAGGCATATGCTACAAAAAATTTCTCATGGCTTTTCAAATGTTCTTTAGCTAACTGTAAAAATAAAGTCTCCTTGCTTTAGCATTTCCCTACAAAATGTTAATCTAGCTACTTTAAAAAGACTCAAGACATTGAGAATAATAAATTACAACACCGAGTCTAAAAGCAAAACATGGTTTAAAAGAGGTTATTTCTTTGGAGACATAAAGGTACTTACCCTGATTTAAGCATGACATGGTTACCATGAATTCTGGTCTAAATGAAATTTCTTTCCCGCAGAGAAGCCAAGGAAATGAGTGCAGGAAGGCATCAGATTCCTTTAGTTAATTAAAAAGTAGTCCTTTCATATTTCCTATCAGTGAAGGAGGCAGAAGGTTCTTAGGCATTCTAAGATAGTCACCATAACTACAGAGTAGTCCTTAAAATTGTACTGGCACAAAGGAAGACATTCAATGCTCCTGGTAATTCTAAATTCCTAGATTTGTCTTTCTAGACTTCCTTATAGAAGCTGACAGAGAAGTCAGAGGGTTAGAAGAGAATTTCGGAAAATTAACTCCAGCTGAGAGGATATACTCACAATTCCCATCGAGGGCTTTTGAGATCCTTCTAATGCATGGATTTGAGCATTTAATGTGCAAATTTCTGTGCCTTCTCTGCCTCATCCCTGTCAGTTTATTGTGGTGTGTGGAGTTGTCCGGGGAATGATTTCACCTGTTTCTTATACAGATGCTTCTCAGTGTGTTCTCTTCTGTTCTCTATTTTCTCTTTGTTAACTGTTAATGCTACATGCAACTATTTTTTGCATTTACTAAAATAAAGTTTTCAAGTGCTAAACGAAAATTTTCTGATTCAATTAAATAAAGCTGAAAATGAAGGAACAAGAGGATTGTCCTTAGTGAAATATTTGTTGCTATGCTAACTTGTTTATATATCCTAGAGGAGAGTAAGAGCAGCCAAGGACAGAAGTGACTCAGCACTTTTTCCCTAGGCAGCTTTCAGTAAACATTTGCTGTTCTAAGAATATTAATAAACGTGTACTGAAAGCAAATATTTATAGCATATACTAACTTAAGCATTTTATGTAAATTTGTGGAAAAAAGAAAAACTCAAGGTCTGATATATACTGTTGTTAAAAAAAACCATCACCATCAAATTGATTCCGACTCACAGTAACCTATAGGACAGAGTAGAACTGCCCCACAGAGTTTCAAGGAGTGGCTGGTGGATTCAAACTGCCAACATTTTGGTTAGCAGCCAACCACATAACTACTGTGCCACCAGGGCTTCATAGTGTTGTTAGGTGCCATCACAGAGCTTTCAACTCATAGCAACCCCATGTGACAGAGCAGAACTGCCCCATGGGGCTTTCTAGGCTATAATCTCTACGGAAGCAGATCACCAGGTCAGATCACCAGATTTTTTCTCTCACAAATCTGCTGGTGGGTTCCAACTGCCAATCTTTCAGTTAGCAGCTGAACACTTTAACTATTGCACCACCAGGGCTCCTTTGATATATACCAGCCCCACTTAAGCAAACAATAATCCTTCAGATTACCAAACTGAAGTGACAGCCACATGACCAAAGAGTTTCCCATTCTCCTGAACAAATTATCTGTTGATAAACAATCCACATTTTGGTGATATCTAATTCCCCCTATAAAAGGATCCTCTCCTGCTTTCTTACTTTTGTTATGGTTTCCATACTTGTTCCAGAAAACTCATCCACTCCCCTTCCTTCACCTTGATCCCCACATTGAATTAACTACTAATTTCTGGTGATTTTTATTTTTATTTTTTTCTCTCTGTAATTATAAATATGTTTGATACCCATTAAATCTTCCTGCCTCGATGCTTCCTGTATAAATAATATCTCTAGGCTTCTAGGATGCTTGCTTCTCTTCTCTTCAAATAATCCCAGGGGACTTCTGACAGTTAAGCCCCATTTATTTTGATTGGCGGTTTGAATTCAACCAAAAACACCTCAGAAGAAAGGCCTGTCGATCTGCTTCTAAAAAATCAGCCATTGAAAATCCTATGAAGCACGGTTCTACTCTGACACATTTAGGATCACCATGAGTCAGAATCAACTCAATGGCAACTGGAGGGGAAAAAAAAAAGGTGTTCTCCATGTTTACCCATACTACTTATCCCAGGCCTTAGAAACTTGACCTATACTCCTTTCAAATGTGGCCACTATCTATCTCTTCCAGACCCTCTCCTTCCAATATTGTCTATAGGTTACCAAGCAATTGTTACGGCTTCTCCCTTACCAGTTAACGCCTTGTAGGCCCAGCTCTGCCCCTGGTTATTGAGTCAGGAATATACACCAGGAGTCCCAGTCCCTCTTGGGAATGGAGGTATGTGAGGAGTTGAAATTAAGTCTCCAGACCCTATAATCAGTTTTTTAGGGATGAGCCTTAGATGTTTCCATAACTTCCACACAATTCCCAACGGTCTCTAAGGCTAAATTTTACCTCAGTCCTATCACTGCATTTCTGGCCCCAAAATATAGTATCTCACCCCCATCATTTACTACCTCAGTCTCTAGGACTGAAGCCCTGCCTTCATTGCCAGCCTACTTAACTACAGCCCTGATACTTTCTGGCTGTTGTTACCTCTGGAGGCGGGGTCGGGGAGGACTTGCATTCTTTCTCTTTAACTGACAGGAACCCTGTTGTGAATGGACAGACCTATTAGAACTACAGAGTAAGTACTTCTGCTTTCCACCTCAGCTCCTATTAACTTCTTGCAGCCCTGCCCCATACACAGATTCAGAATCCTTCGTGATGCTGGTACTTGCCTAAACTAGGACTGAGCTTGTTACATCCTTGGGATGCTGTGTCTTGGGGTACTGGGCTATCCTCTGCAGCGAGGTCAGGTCCCCCTCTGCCCTGAACAGAGATGGATTTATCAGGAAGCTGATGAAGCTTAAGCTTCAGGGCCCATCACATGCACTGCCCCTCCCAAGACCTTTCCTCTAATTTTTATTTTTACATTTTTCCTTAACAATCAGTGGAATTGATTTTGGAGAGAGTGAACCCAAATGATTTATTGGTAACAGTGGCAAAGTCTATAGGAAACAAATAGGAAAAAAAAAATCATCTTTGTTAGCCTGAGGTTGTGGTCACAGCTGGGACAAGGAATGGACAAGGCTGAAATTGAATGGGGGAAACCTGAAAATGAGAGAATCACAGAAGATGTTGATAAACTCTCCACACAGCCCTGGCCAACTACAGAATGCATGCATGGTTGTGGAGAGACCTGAGAAATTGCCACAGAAAGTAAAATCCAAGAGAGGATTAAAAACTGGCTAAGTTTTGAGTACCAACCTAAATCCAGCACAGATCAATGGCAGAGGGCCAAAGCCTTACAGGCTCATAGGATTTGTGCAAAAGCCTTTGGTTGACTACTAAGCAATGCAGACCCAGAGGAAAGCCACAGAAAAATAGGATAAAGTACAAAAATAAGCATTACAACCTGAGAAGAGACATCAGAGGCTGCAGGGTCAGGGAGTAGTGAAGGATAGATTCTGCAGTTTAAGTTCAGGCAAGTAACTGTTAAAAACACTCCAAAAAATAAATCAGATCCCTATTTATTATCTAAACCCTATTATACTATAATATATTATCTAAACCCTATTTTTCCAAGCAATCTCAAGTATATACATATTTATATCAGTACTGCCAGGAATGCAGTGATGGAACCCAAAACAAAACAAAAATCCTCATCCACAGATGATCTATCCAGCATTCAAGTCTCAATGATCTCCCTAGAGCCACTCTGATTTTTTCTGAAGGTACCTGTCCTGCCAGTTGATTATGGAATTCAAGAGCTGTCATTGGATGTACTAAAATAGAAATTCATGTTTTAAAGAAAGGTAATAACTTTCTTTTTAGCATGAAAATGTGTAGTAGGCCTGTATGAACTCTGACTTAACCCATCAAACAAGTTCATAGAATGACCAGTAGGTGGCCACATAGTAAACTAAATCTCAGCTGAAAAACCTGCTTAATGATTCTATCACTTTTCTAGACAACACTAGGCTTTCAAAGTCATGACTTTAAACTTACTAAGAAATTTGTTAGGCTCAGTCTCTTGTTATTGAAGACAGAAATCTAGATGAATTTTCCCGGACAACACTTCCTTCCTTGCCAGGGTCGTTGTTTGAGGCAAACAAACAGGGGCCCTACATACCCCTAAACAAAAAGGGAGCTGGGCTGACAGCCTGAAAGCTTTGAATGGAGATTTTAAATTGGGAAGATAAATCATATTTACTGTACGTTCTGGAATCCAAGCTTCCTGGAGCTTATGTGCCAATAGATCTAAATAATCCACTTTCCTGAAAACTACTGCAAGTGACTAGTTTTTATTGTTTGTTTCAATTTTATCCTATTTGTTTATTCTTTTGAAGACCTGCAAACTAACTCGGTCCACTGCTTCCATGGAAACTTGAAGAGCTCCCCTTTTTTCCAGGGATATATAATGGATACTAAAGGTCAAGAGAAGCCAGGGGCCCGTGTGACTGATCTGACTTTGTGGTGGACCGTTGATGACAATTTATGTCCCTCTACTAATCATTACCAACAAGTGAGAGACATCAGTTAGATTCCTGAGGTTATTGGAAGCTTCCTGGTCACTGTCTAACGGAAAGTCGGGCTTTTATGAAGCCCAGGAGCTGTTATGTAGGGAAGTGGCTGTCTCCTGGGCTTGATAGAATCCATTAACATCTTTCTTCAGGAAAAGCTGTAACTGTGAGCTATCTGTAATGGATACTGATTACTAAGAAAAGAAGATACATATTACTTTAAACTTCAGGGGTCTCCAGGGACAAAAGTTATAGAAAAGGGGGTCTTTGGGGTCACAGGAATGCTCATT